TCAAGATGATGATGATGATGAATGATTTTTGTCCAAATTTTGTATTATTTTTAACTTCCCTTAGAGTAAGTTATAGTAATGAGCCAAAAATCTAGAATGAAAGTTTTTGCATAGCTTCACGTTTCAGAGGTTTTTAAATATTTTGGCATACCTTAGAAAAAATGGATGTGAGAATGTGTGTGTGTGTGTTTTGTGTGTCCGAATTATTTCGTCCACGTTTTCGGGCGCATGGATTAACCGATTTAAATGGTTAAAAGAACATTCGATTTCTATTGATAGGGAGATGTGCTGATTAGTTCTTAGCAAAGACAGGTTAGCCGTCTCGGAGATACGAAGCAAAGAATGCAGAAAATATAAATCGAGTATTTGAGAAATCGGAGTAACGAGTTTGAATGATCCAAAAAATATTCAATTCGTAATGAAGGGGAGAAGTGGTGATTAGTTTTGAGCAAAGGCAGGTCCAGCGGTTTCGGAGATACAGAGCTAAATGTGCAAAAACTTGTAGTTATTGAGAGAACTAAGCGTATGATTTGGATGAGTCAAAGAACTTTCTGCTTGTTTTAACAAAAAAATTGCGTTTGAATAAAAATATTGTTTCAATTTTTTTTTCGAAAAATATTTTTTGTATATCGGAAATAATTCAGATTTTAATTTTAATTCTGACTTAAATTGTAATATACTTTAACTCTGCAATTCAGTTTATATAATTCTTATAAATATTAGACAATTTTACAGTATTTATTTATAATAATCTATTTAAAAAAAAAAATTGCACGAATGTTCCAGCAATTTGCCTTAAGGCACGGTGCCATACACAGTCCTAATTATTTAAGCTGCAATCAGAACTATTCTGTGTGTTCTATAAATTGTTGTGAAATGTTTATATATATATATATATATATATATATATATATACATATATATGTATATATATTTATATTTCCACTACCAAGATATATTAGAAAGTAGTGCAATGATTATTTTGTTGTATATCTCTATGATAAAAACTATATGCTTTTAAAATCATGTTTCTTTGTTTATTTCCAAGTGAAAACGAATAGAAGTACTACCTTATATCAAGTATAGCAAAGATGTTGTGGATCAAATTATTAAATATTCAAGAAAAAATATGTAAGTAAAAAATACATGAGTAAAAAAGACTAAAAATACTGTCTAATATCAGGTCAAGCAAAGATATTGTTAAAATCTTTTTAAATCTGAAGTAAAAAATACATTCGATAAAATACTTATTATTTTTTATTATCATCGTAAAGATTTCATCAAAGTCTTTTATTTAGTTCATTTATACTAATATAAAAAATATGCTGTGTTATCAATTGTAAATATTATATAAATTGTGAGGTAATTATTAGTTTTTGCAAAAGGCAGGTTGTAACATAGTTGTATTCAAAACACAGGTGGAAATAGCACAAATTATGAAATTTATTGTAAAGGTTAAATTAGATTTATCAATCTCTTTGATAAATGCTTTGAAACCATTGAATTGATTGTTTTGATACAAATAACTGTTTATTTTCAGATTATCTCATATAAGAAATATCAAACGGCTGTAACTATTAATTTAAAAACAAAACAGTTAATAACTCTGAACAAAAAAATAGTAAGTGGTATTTTTTCGGCATTTGAAGCATTACCTCTTTTTAGAAAACTCTGTACAAGATCCAAAAAAAATCTGTTGATGTATAATTTTCAATTTGTAATGTACAAACTTTAGTACGATGTCAAAGTTTCAATTCAAAAGCAAGAATATAAAAATTGTAAATAAAACTAAATCTAAATGTACAAGTCGGCCATTTGATGAGCATCTTGAGAATTGATTCTTGCAATATACTTACGTTGATTAAATTAAGTGCTTTCGTTCAACAATAATGTTCAATTCAAACTATATCAAACTTAATCCAATTTATTTCTTAGTGTCGCGATTCACTTCTCTTTAGGAGAAATAATGTAAAATGATATAAATAATAAAGAGTCTATTTTATAAATCACATCATATAGTCGACAGATGTTTAAATGAATAAATTAATATTGAATATAGATACAAAAATTTAAAAAAAATATTTATAATATATTATGTAATAAAATCGAGTAATTGTTATGTGATAATAAATTTTGAATAATTTTCTGCCTTCAACATACTTTTGAACGGCCACCACTATAACTTACGACTGTGCGAAGTCAGCACGATATATGCCTTGTGTTCAAATAATCTATGGCCGTTTAATGTCTCATTTTGACCTGAGAACTATAAATAAAATCGTTTCTTTTCGACTGTTCACATAGATAAATTAGATTCTCATAAAAGTGCCTAGTTAAAAGTAGGTCGCATTGATTAAAGAGATACTAAAGATACGCCTAATACCCAAATGGATGTAGTAAAATGAAATTTTACCAACTTCAGTATTTTTTAATTATTATTCACCATTGATATATTTTTAGCTAATACAAATTATTTCTACAAAATTATAATTAGCAATTGATTGATGTGATGTCACAATGAATGCAAATATTACTTTCACTTTATATTAAATTGCAACAAATAATTACTCGGAATTATAATCAGAAAATTATGAACTGGAAATCATCAAACGATATGATACACAGCTGAAATAATATTAGATTAAACAAACAATAACAATGTAATGCTCAAAGCACTATTGTATTATCATCATATCTATTTTGCCAATAATTATAATAAACTAAACAAAAGTAATTAGTCATACGAATTAAAAATATTAGTTTTATATTGGTTTATAAATGCTTGTAGTAATGTGATTATTTATTTTGTGGTGAAGACTGTAATGTCTATAACATAGCGTTGCTATGGCTCCTTTCTTCATATAAAATGGTAGTAAAAACTATCAAAATCCTATCTATTTGCTGTGCAGTCAGACTTTTAAGACATAAAATCTAACCTAGAAAACTCGCAAGCATCAATAAAAGAATAGTATCAAAACTGCATCTTTCTGATGTGGATTTATAACACATAAGTGATCTTAGGTTTTATGTGTAAAACGCCTAATCGCACAGCAAATTCATAGCATTTTGATAGTTTTTACTACCATTTTATATAAAGAAAGAAGTTTTCATAACAATGCTATGTTATGGACTATTTTACCTAAGAATTGTCCTCTTAATATTGCAGGTCCAAAAATAGTTTGCAAATATCTCTTAACTTTCCAAAGGAGAAGATTCTGGATATGTCAAAAATGCTATTTACAATAAATACCTTATTATTGATCTTCAAAATTAAACTTAACTTCACTCCAACAACTAAGGGATTGATGTTACATAACAAGTTAAATTTAGATGCACATTAAAAGTAAATATTACTGCCATTTCATGTTAAATTGCAATTAACAATTAATCGGAATTACAATCAGCGAATTATTGGCTAAATATTACGAACCGATTTGATATTATTTCCACGAAAGCTGAAATAATATTAAATTAAACAAACAATTACAACTATCTGTTTAATGCTCCTTTGTAATATAAACATGATAATCACAAAAATGAAATAGTTGGTTTTAAAATAATTACAAACTAACTAATACGTATTCAAAATATTAGTGTTTTATTAATATATCAGTGCCATAATAATAATAATATGTGGGAGTCTGCTCATGGTGAGAGAACACCTCAAATCATTGATTTACTTACTCTCCTTTGTTTATTATTTATTACCATTATATTTTTTACCATAGCATTTTATTACCATTAATTTTTATTGTTATTCATTTTTATGCATTTCTCTCTATAAACTTTAACAATTAAATTTTACCAATGCTATTATAATAATATTTAATATTTCATGATTAAAAATTTCATTAAAAAAATAATTTCCCGAAAATAAGTAAGTTTTCACCAAAAAATTTGATTTTCTTGACATTTCAAGATATTCTGAATCGCTTGACATTAAAATTAGAAGTGTTTATGTATGGAGATAAGATATTCACACAAAATTAGCCATGTACGATATAAATCCAAAATTTATTTTCAAGATTTACAAAAAGTTTGAAAGATGTCACTGTTTTTGGTAAAGGTCAGCCAAGCCTATTATTGAGAACGATTTTTATGAAACTGGTTCAATGAGGATTTTAATGGGGATCATAGAATACTATAGGCCTATAAAAGTGGTCATAGTTTTATTAACAACTACCTACAAATTATGCCTTTTATGCCTACAAATTAATTTCTCTGCAACCTAGTAATTGAAGTGCCGACAAAAATTCGCCAAAGTTGTGGGCCATAAATCCTGAACCCATTCTGAAGATTTAAAAACATTTCGAAAAATGTCGCTGTTTTTAGTATAGGTCAGCCAAGTCCCCAAGTTCATTGCTGAGAACGATTTTTATGTAACTTTGAATAATGATATGATGATTGGCTATAATGAACATCATAGAATACTGTACCCTTATAATAGTTGTTACCGTTTCGTTAAAAACTGCCTACAAATAATGCATTTTATGGTCACTAATTAATTAGCCTTTAACTTAGTACATGAAATACCAACACAAATTCCCTAAAGACGTACGCCCTTGATTCCTGAACCTATTTTGAGGATTTAAAAACAGGTCGAAAAATGTCACAATTTGACATAATTTTAATAAGCATCATAGAATACATATAGGCCTTTATTAAAAGTGGTCGCAGTTTCATTAAACTATGCTTAAAAAAATCGCCAAAGTCTCAAATAATAAGCCTTGTCAAAATACCCAACTTCGACGATCATTTTGAAGTATTGCTACACATCATCAAACCTTCTGATGAAGTCGATTATTTGCCTCCAAAATTTATACTTATAAAAAATTGTTTGATATATAAAAAAGTTTATAAAAAGTATTCGCAATTTGCCTTAAGGCAGTATGATGCTTACACCTAGTTTTAAATTGTATTAAAATAAATACGCTATTTAACTAATCATCATCGCAGTCTCTAGAACCTATAAGTATATTTCTATTAAAATATAAACTCACCTAATATATGTAGGCCATCGAATAAAAATTATTTACATCCTTTTGAATCACACATTTCCACTAATGTTCTATAATCTAAACTAACTACTAATTATAATCACAAAATAGTCTCATTGTTCAGTTTACGCACCTCCAGTTCATGCACCATTGACAAACGTCAAAATAAATTCCATCTCCAATAAACTTATCGCAACCACCTTTATGTATAATACACAATAATTTACCACCACGTGTCTTTTATTCAATAGTAATTTATTCATTCACTGGTTATATTAAAAAACGTAAAACAATTTGCAAAATCACACAAATCTCTTAAACCATTTAATATATTTAAAGGATTGACTATGGCTCACCTTTAACGCAACAATGTCTCTTTCACTGTGTACTTACGCAACTACAATAGCTGATGCCGTGTTAAATTGTAAACATTGACTAAGTTGTCATTGAATGCCGCCAGAGTGTCTTTTATATTAAATTCATTGACTATGCAAATAACATGGATATAATTGATTATAGATATTGATTATTTAGCTTTTAAGCAAAATTACAAATTGTTTACTTAAATTTATTATTTTATGATCAAACAAATTATTATTTTATGATCAAGGTTATAATTAATTTGAAGCACTGGTGCAAAAACTATAAGTCAATAATACAAATTTCACGCGTATAAAACTGCGTGCGAAAATGTAGTAGCAATTATAAAAGACAAACATTAGGGTGCTTTCTAATGAGTTATTACACAACAGTATTAATTAACGGTAAGAAACTAACAGGACTATTGTTCAATGTCTTTATGAAATGGGCTGATTTTAGTTAGTTAATATGAAAAATGATAAAAAATAATAAGTGTACATTTTTGCTATCGCAGTGTTTCTGACATTCACGACAATTTTGTGAAGAACTTGTACTATAAAACAGCAACAGAAAAGTACCGCATATTTATTAATCTATATGAATCACTTACTTTATTAAAAAACTGCATAAGCCAGAAGCTTATGCGTTCATAAAAGCAACATTACTATTAATGATGTCAGACTAATATATAGTATGAAAGCAAAAATTTGATTCTAATTGACGATCTATGTATGTATAAGGAGTAGATCAAATATTATTTTATGATCAAAGTTAAAATTAATTTAGATCAGTGCTGCAGAAAATTCAAGTCACAAATATTGATTTGACACATGTCAAAATGTAATAGCAATTATAAGAGGCAAACATTAGACTGCCTTCTACTTACTATCGGCGAAAAAACTAACAGGACTATTGTTCAATGTCTTCATGAAATAGGCTGATTTTAGTTGAGATTAGTATGAAAAATAAATATATTAGGTGTACCTACATTTTTGCAGTCGCCGTTTTTCTGACATTCGAGACCTTTTTATAAAGAACTTGTACTATGGAAACAGCAAAAGAAAAGTACCACATCTAATTTACATACATATTTATAAATCTGTATAAAATCATTTACTTTATTAGAATTTTGAAGAAATACAAGCTAATGTGTACATAGAAGCAACATTATTATTATTGATGACAGACTAATATATAGTCTAAAAGCATAAGTTTTATTCTAACTGATATATGTATAAAGAGTTACAATGCAGATATTTAATAGATAATTATGTAGATAATTAAATTAGTCAGTTGTAATAATTAATTTCTCGGAAGAGGAGTTTATGTTCCTGCGACAAAATCCAATTTGCTAATGTTATGTTTTCTCGACGTTTTAAGACATTCTGATTGAATGAGACCAAATTTGGCCAAGTATGCTTGTGTGTGTCTCGACGTTTTCCCAAAAACGGCTGAACCTATTTCAAAAATTTAAAAGTCATTGCGAACTTCAGTTGGTTAGTTTTGCGCGACGATCGGCCAAACCGTTTCTTTGTAATTAGCAGAAGAGTGTTAAACTTCTCGTCCACGTTTAGTATAAACCAGGGTGTCTTCAACTATGGGTCTCGACCCCAAATAGGATCATTTTGTAACACGTTAGGTTTTTGTATGTTTTACAACGAATTCTAAAACTATATATTTTCGTATGTATATGTCGCTAAATAAATAAATCATCTAAAAATATTAATTCGTTTTTTTATATTTGTGAAGTCGTCAAGAAACTCGAAATCATAAATGGGGTCATCGAGAAACTCGCAATCTGAGATAGAGTCGCAAAGGACAAAAGTGTAAGAAGCCCTGGTTTAAACCCTCAATTTTGAACCGATTTTAAAAATTCAAAAAGGTATTGGTTGGGAATCGGTTGATTAACTTTTTGTAAAAATTGGCCGTTTCTTTGTAATTAAATAAGGACTTTGATGCAACTTTGTATGACACACTGAAATATTATCGCCCTAGGATACCCGATTAAATAATAAAAAATTATCAAAGTTTCGAAATTTGTCCCGCATATGTTCTACGTTCTGTGCTGTTCTGTTCGTAGGTAACTGATTATAGGTCCATACATAAAATACATTTTTAGAACATGAAATGATTAAATTTATACAATTACAGATATTATAACTATGTTTCAAAGACGACATCAATTGGTAATCGTATTGATTAGTTTGTAGTGAAAGCAAAAATTTTTTTCGAAATAAACATTTGAACTAAATGAGCAAACGAATTCGGAAGTTCATACAACTTGTATTAAATTTAAATGATACTACAACTAGTTAAAAAATGATTTGCTTCGTAATGGCCAGGTGCAATATATCCTACTACTATTAATTTACTATCCTACTAATAAATAAATAAATAGTTACAATATATCCTTTAGACTTATTGAGTGATGTGTCACATGTACATACACACATCTAAACTAGAACAATTGAGGTAACTCACAAGTATCTTTCCACCGAAGTAACAATTAACGCATTCGCTGGCAAATAGTGCATCTGTATATATGTATGTGGGCAATAAATTAGTTTCAGCTAGCGCAAGCCGTTATTTCGAGTATTTGTGCAGGCAATAACGCTAGTTTATAACGTAGCATGTGTGTACAATGAAATCGAGCTATGAAGATAGCAGAATTTCCGAAGCGCGCGGTGCGTTCTCTGCAAAGCCTCCGTTACGTAACGACGTGCAAACCACAATATAGCACTTCCCTCGGCGGAATATAACCACCGAGCCGCTTTTGTCGTCCCTAGAACACTTGAGGAATGCTACAACATATTACAAACATTATCCATTTGAGACATAACAAAATTGGTAACTTGTTTAGCTAAACTACTAGTTATGATAAACCGGGTTATTGTAAATGAAATACTTCTAGAATATATTTTGCATAGTAGAACAAAATTTTTCTCTGTATCCTTTAATATAGGGGAGATTGGGTACTGTTGTGCTGTTTTTTATTTGTTCAGCATTAATTTTGTTCATTCACTATTTATGCGAGAGAAAAATGGATTAAATGGTATTGTGAACATTTATTTTAGTGGTAATACTGGAATTCTGTCCTTAAATATGATCATACATTCAAATCATACAAGAGAAAAGCGAGTGTCACAACCGTCCACGCCCCAAGGACGGTTATGACAGGCATAAAAAATAAGTTAAACTGGTTCAAGGTATTGCGCCATAAGGCAAATTACTGGAACTTAAACAAATATCAAAATTAAAAAAAAGAGTGCGCGAAAAGATCACACGCGATTGAAGTAAAACATATTTGCTAATGTACAAAGTAGCTATTTTAAGTTAAGAAAAAATTAATACATCATATAACAATTTTCATTAGTATAAACCATTATGCATATTTATATAATGATAAATTATAAATTATATATTTGTAATAACTTTAACAATATGTATAATATTTAAAAACAATAATGTTAAAAAAGTCATACTTCAAATTTGACACGATCGATTTGTCATTGTAATTAGCTTTTAGAAAAATAGAAATAATTGCTTTTTAATAAATGCTATAATACTTGTTCACACATTAGATTATATTAAACAATTACAATGGTGTAGTAAATCTACTACAATGAGTATAGTAAATCTACTACAATGAGTCTGGTAAATGTATTTCAATTGGTCGAGTAAATCTACTACAATGGTGTAGTAAATCTGCTACAATGAGTATAGTAAATCTACTACAATGAGTGTGGTAAATGTATTTCAATTGGTCGAGTAAATCTACTACAATGGTGTAGTAAATCTACTACAATGGTGTAGTAAATCTACTACAATGGTGTAGTAAATCTACTACAATGAGTATAGTAAATCTACTACAATGAGTATAGTAAATCTACTACAATGAGTGTGGTAAATGTATTTCAATTGGTCGAGTAAATCTACTACAATGGTGTACTAAATCTACTACAATGGTGTAGTAAATCTACTGCAATGAGTATAGTAAATCTACTACAATGAGTGTGGTAAATGTATTTCAATTCGTCGAGTAAATCTACTACAATGGTTTAGTAAATCTACTACAATGAGTATAGTAAATCTACTACAAGGAGTGTGGTAAATGTATTTCAATTGGTCGAGTAAATCTACTACAATGGTGTAGTAAATCTACTACAATGGTGTAGTAAATCTACTACAATGGCGTAGTAAATCTACTACAATGAGTATAGTAAATCTACTACAATGAGTGTGGTAAATGTATTTCAATTGGTCGAGTAAATCTACTGCAATGGTGTAGTAAATCTACTACAATGAGTATAGTAAATCTACTACAATGAGTGTGGTAAATGTATTTCAATTGGTCGAGTAAATCTACTACAATGGTGTAGTAAATCTACTACAATGGTGTAGTAAATCTACTACAATGGTGTAGTAAATCTACTACAATGAGTATAGTAAATCTACTACAATGAGTATAGTAAATCTACTACAATGAGTGTGGTAAATGTATTTCAATTGGTCGAGTAAATCTACTACAATGGTGTAGTAAATCTACTACAATGGTGTAGTAAATCTACTGCAATGAGTATAGTAAATCTACTACAATGAGTGTGGTAAATGTATTTCAATTGGTCGAGTAAATCTACTACAATGGTTTAGTAAATCTACTACAATGAGTATAGTAAATCTACTACAAGGAGTGTGGTAAATGTATTTCAATTGGTCGAGTAAATCTACTACAATGGTGTAGTAAATCTACTACAATGGTGTAGTAAATCTACTACAATGGTGTAGTAAATCTACTACAATGAGTATAGTAAATCTACTACAATGAGTGTGGTAAATGTA